GGAGTCGGTTCAGGCGAAGGCTCAGGAGTAGGCTGATGCGAATATACTACAACAGATGACGAAGTAGTGCAAGGTGGCTTTTCACCAGAGCATTTTCCATACACTGGGTTGCATCCTCTGCCGCAGTAGTTGCGATTGCCACCGCAGTAACCACGTTGGCTAGCTTCATGTTAGCTCTACACGCTTTTCATTTGTTATTCCAGAACTTACTCGCAGCAGTCTCCGAACTTGGAACCTAGGCAAGTAGCACCGTTGGTTGCGCAACGGCCATCTTCCGAGATTTTCGGATACGTGGAAGATCCTGATGCAGGGTACGTGGCTCCCTGGACGGCCTGTACAGTGGCGAAGGCCGCCAACAGCAAAGTGTTGATGCTCGGCATTTTAACCGGTTATTATAGATGGTAATGACAGTGGATGTACGTATAAAGACACGGAACTTAAGAGAATGTGGGGCCTGTTACAACAAGGACTTGTGAACAGTAACGAGCATGTTGAACAGAGGGTGATCCTCTTTTTATCATAGAAACCCATCACGAGCAAACATACACGGAGGCTTACCTCTGACTCAGCTCAAAGACAACAATCGACCGTGTGCAGCTTCTGGCCCAATATCGCGCGCGCTAGGCTTGGATTTCCAACGACATCAGGCGACGAATAGCTAGCCACCGTTAGTAGCTTCAGTCTCGAAATCTATGTTTTGTCGAGCTAGAGCGAAAGCGGCGCGATCTAAGAAATGTGGAAATGGAAGAGGCGCAAATCGCTAGTCCGAAGATTCGGCTGTTCGCGGCGTTAAGCCTTAAGCGAACCTAGTATTGTACCCCTATACGCGCCAAGTTGGGTCGCCTTGTCCCTTGAAGCTGGTATTGATTCTTTTTTTGCAATCCGCTTACCTTCACAAGTTAGACGCACGCTCAGGGCTATGTAAGTGCGAACGCCCAAGATTTCCTACGGAGATGCCGACGGTGAATTGGGCGCTCGTGATACGCTGGCCTGATAAGAGACTAGTATGAATGGATCGGTTAGCAGAGAGAATGTGATAACAAACTAGAGTTGCAATTGTGAATTCGGCAATGGTCCTGAGCCTGTTTGCAATGTATTCAAAGTTGAAGTTACCAGAAGGCGATCCGATTGTGCCGTATGTGCCCTGTTACGTTGGTATCATTACCCGGGAGCTTCCCAATTGGCTTGTTGACTGGCCATGCTACACTCGATGTAGCCCTGCTCAGAGGGAAGCAAGATCCGAAGGATACATTCTACCAGATCTCGGACGGTCGAAAGAACTTCCAGAAGCGATTACTTAGAGGTTATGGAATTCGGTGCCAAAGTGGCCGGTACAACTTATTGAACATCTTCTGAGCATTTGCATGAAGTGGGTGATTATGTAAAGGATGAATGGTGCAGAGAAAACATATATACATTGGAAGGATAATCTAAAGGCGACCATTTCTTCCAGCCGAACTCAATGTGAACAAAGAATCTCCGACCATCTACCATCCGACATTACTCAATCCCCAAGTTATATACAACGTTGCGCGGAAAGCCAAACCAGACCTGTCAAAACTCAATCTTTCACGCCTGTGCCGGGCAACTGCCGTCATTGATATCTCCAAATACAGAGATAGAGCTGATGTCGACAACTTCATCCTGAAAGTTGATCAATGTGAGAGAGATATTCGTGATAGAGGCCATTCCAGACGTATTGACAGGCCCAAACACAACTGTTTGACCCTGATGGTTCGCAGCAGTCGCAGGGGCATCTGGTAATTCTGTACAATTATTGCCGTCATTGATGTCGCCAAAAATACTGATAGAAGAGATGTCGAAGACTTCGTCTTGAGCGTTGACAAGCGTGAGAGCTACATTGGACAATGGGACTTGCGGCAGAGTAAAGGGGCCAAAGAGCGTTCCCAAACCAAGTAGGCGCGCTTCGACAGGTTTGACCAGTGGCGAAGGAAGGGCGCTGGTTGCACTACTGTAGAGTAGTGGAATGATCATGGCGAGAGGCTTGGTGAACATGATGAAAGATGTAGGACAAGATAGAATTTGGTATGTCAAGTGTCTTGGGATAGAAAGGAGTGTGTATGGTATTGCGAAAACTGCTTGATATAGGTTCGTAGGCCCTTTTGACTGTTTTTATATTCCTCTGTATCAAACAGAGCTATTTCTACTACACTTCACGGGCCGATATATCTTTCGTTCAAATGGGACACAATCGAGCTTTCTCACTGCCATCGGTGCACTGTTCTCGAGCCAAGAGTAGAATGGTCTATCGGCACCTCGTTACTAATGACACTATACCACTTTTGCTAATCTGTGTTGTTCGAGAACTCTGAGAAGCACAAGCCAAGATCTGCTCTGGTCATGTGTTCTCACGTGGAACGATTCCATGCAGACGGCGTCGTATCCGGTGTATGGCGCGAGGCTGAGTCGGTATAGTTTGGCCGATGTCATATAACATTCGGTTCGGCCCGCACATGTTGTGCCTCTCGGTAGCTACCAAATTATACCAAGTTCTCACTAAGACCCTGGTAATAAAAAGCAAAACACTCGCTTCTCCTTTTCGAACAGATACTTATAAGGCCGCTCGCATCGAGCTCAGTAGTTACCAAGAATTCTTGGAAACTTGGAAATCGGCACTCACATCAATTCGGAGTCATATTTTAGAGGTAGATAGGTGCTTCGGTCAGTATAATTTGAGTTCAGACGTGTGCTAGCACATGAGGGCGCGTGACCAAAGTGTTTCAGCGACCTTGACTAAACACTCGGTCGGGAAATAAGACCATTAACTGGCGCATCCAAGTAAAAGGTCACTATGGATTCATTTTCAAACTCAAAATGTATTCTATATTGAATGCATATACTCCTCCGAAGAATCTGCATCCCTACCACTAGGAAACGCTAACCGGTCCGTCTGACCAGCATACCTGGAGCAGCCACACCGAGAACCATCGGTCTATCCGTCTAAACTCAGGCAAAAATAGAGTCCAGTATGCATAGCCACTAGATCTACTCAAAAGTAGCATCAAGAACGGCCGCAAAGCGAATCTGCCTTTGTCAGCACTAGAATCTGCACTGCCGCTATCAAACAACCACAGCAAGTACCACTTAATCGCCTAAATACAACCAACTCCTTAGTACCGCCTAGATATTAGGCCCTGAGTCATCCCTAGGTTAAATCCATGTTCTGGCTACAAGAGCGAATCAGTATGAAGAAGGTGCCACGACCGCCAAGACCGATACCCCAGACTTCAAGATACGCCAACTCGAATCGCCAACCCAGCCAGTAAGCTATTTCTCCGAGCCTAATCGAAAGCAAACAAAATAGTATGTCTGTGTCTCAGACAAACAAATCTATACCACTCAGCCTACCCAAGAAAGGATGACGCCTAGAACTCAGGACCACAGGGTTCATGCAGTAGTACGGATAGGGACTATGTAAATTAATTGAACCCGAGCTAGCAAAGCCCTGCCTACCACAATCCTCCCGAGCCCAATATCAAGGGCCGATGTAAGAAGCAACAGACTATCTCATTAGCTAGTTACATACACACGTACTGTACCATGGCCCTATGGCCCCACATCTCCTCAAATTGCGCAACCACGAGGGCCAAGAATGAAATACGCCGAGGTACACACACTCCGTGCTACTATCCGAATCAGGTAGGTTCTCAGCCTTGCCACGCTCTTGGTACCGTCCTGTTCGCAGCACGGAACCCTTCCGCACGAGAGACAAAGTAGAAAAAAAACTAAACAAGGATGAGTAACGTACATTCCGCATAACCAAGAAACCGGCCTCACCGTGATGGATTTTCTATCCAACCTTCTATCTTCTTTCTCCTCGTGCTTATCAAACTACACTTAGCGTAGCACTATTCTTAAAACTCTCTTCTTCTACCTTATAGTATGTGATATAGATATTAAAATCGTTTTCATTATATTATACATAATATCATGCGCAGCGTCTATAGCCTCTCCTCCTCCGCATCGAACATTACTATAGCAACTATATGTTTTCTTAGTTTAGAGTATCAGTATAATATCTTAATAGTAAAGGCATATTATGCTACAAACTAAATGCATTTAGCTATAGATTTCTTTCTCTCTCGATAGTTTTCAAAAATAGATTCGGTTTACTGTGCAATTCAGAAATTTGGGACAGGCGCTGCGAGGCCGCCTCGCTTTGGCTGGTAGCGGAAGCATCGAAAATCCATGTGTCTTATTGAAATCCTCTTGTTATGAGTTTTGTTGTATCAATATCCTTTCCTGCACTTGGGCAGGTTCATCATAACGTGTGAAATACAGCTGTATCCTTGTTGAAAATCTGTCATTGGCATAAAGAGAGACATCGACGCACCGATATGCTTTTAATCCTTAGCACACAAGAATATCAGGGATATGAAGGCAACAAGAAGCTGTCCAAACGCCATTGCAGTAGACCAGTCCCCAGCTAAGCCACCCCAAACAATAACACAAAGCCACGTTATGGTGAGGCTAAACCAGATCCAAGCTATCTTAACTGGCATTTCATAAATGATACGATCGATTTGCCATCCCATAACGAATTCTATACCACGTAGCTTATCAGTTTGGTGATAATATTGTTGGCGTCCAGGAACTGTAATCTGTCTAATTCACATACGGTATCAGCAATGTTCGTAACAGAGAGTTGATGTGCTTACTTGATATTATAGATGCAACTCTCTTGCACCATGCCTTCCAAAGTCCGTAGCCCAATAGCTTTCTGTGGCTTACGCGCACAATCTTTTAGGAGATAGAGACTATCAAGTTTCTTCATTCGTTGCTTGGCCATCCGAATTTGATCTTTGATACAGGGCTTGTTGAGTGCGTCCATCATATTCTCGCAATCTTCGCTATGCCCACCTTGGTCGTCACAATGATCGTCAAAGTTGTGATCAGGTTCTAATGCAATTATTCGGTCTGTCCTTTTGCGAATCTCCTCAACATTGACCGGGTATATGTGGACAGGGATCGGCCCAGCTCCTTCCGGATCTCCGAGCAACCAAAACTATAATATCTTTGTAAGTCATATAACTAGTCATGACTGAAATCGTTTCATTTTCTTACCTCAACTTCATATACATCAACGACACCATAGAACGGAATCCATCTTTTCCATTTACCCTGATATTGGAAACAAACGTCATTCAATCTTTGGTAGATCGCAGCGTCATTTTCACAGGCGTTTTCTTTTGGGTCAAGTTTCTCATAGGTCACCTTCTCTGATTGCGCACCTTCGCCCTTAGTCACTCGCCGGCGGCGTATGACTCGGCGTTCCTTTGTAGGACGGAAGCAGGGTACTCGAACTGCGTACTGTCCAAGTTTCTTCCCCTGAAGACAAAGAAAGCAGTATTGTGCTGTTCGATCTAAAAGACACCCACTGCTTCTAGAAGGTATATCGGAACCAAGCCCGAAGAAGGGTGTCATTCTTGATCTTTTTTGATCTGAAACGGACGATGTCTCTTGTGGGCTTTCCTGGGCGGCTTGTCGTTCCACATCGTCTATAGTACGTGAAGACGACATGTGATGGTGTATGAAGCAGCAAAAGAACTGTAGTAGAGGGCAAGAGCAGAACAGTAGGCTTGCGATTGTGACTAGGCAGCGAAGGAAGGCTCTTAATATATATTTATCCACGCCACGCTAGGCTACTTTTGCGCTCTTTCCGCCAAACAACGCATTAGTTCTGCAAACGCCTAGCCGCCCTATGGAGTGCTTTCACAATCCTCCTATTAGCTAGTCTAAGAATAGAAAAGAATGAATTTAACTGATTGGCATTCAGCGTCCAAAGAAACACAGCAAGTAAGACAGCATTAATCGAGCTGATGGCTGCTAGTGTTACTAATGATTGGGATGGAAGAAAAGATAGTCGTAGAGAAAATGACAAGGCGGCATAGTTCACAGAATGCGCTTTTGTGTGACCAAGGCGTGATAGAAACCGAGCCTGCGACAACGGCTCCCTGCTGCTTACTTTGGGGCAAGCCAGAATGCTCGATGCAGGTGACGGCAGTGCGGCGCAGGGCTACCTACGACAGCGGACACTCGTGACGCCCAACCTTGTCTCAGCCTTGCATCTCAGCCTTTAGCAGATGCTGCTCTCTCACTATCGCAAATGTAGGTCTAACGCGGGGCTAGGTTCGACCAGTCACTAGCAAAGACGTGGGCCTAAGGGTGCTCCGCGAAGCAAGTACAGAAGCGTAGAGCATCAAGTACGTTTACCCATAATAGATATCTATATATAGCTTATAGAAATGTAGCTGGTATCGTTCCATATCTTGGTATCTTGGTCGAATAAACAACACTACACCAGAAAAGAACTATTGCACAACAGCGCTACAACATCTCCCTCTAAAACCTACCCCACACACCCTCCTCCTGCACCATACCTACCCACCCTTCTTATTCCTCCCAGATAACAAAAAACAAAAAAGAACAAAAAAATGCTATTCCGGTACCGGGAGTCGAACCCGGCTCTCGTCGGGCGCTCTTCACCTAAGCGATGAAAGCGACGGATGCTAGCCGATCTGAAATCTTATTAGTCTCTTTGTTTGCAATACAAAGGAATTCGAGGTAGAACTTACACACCATACCGGAGAAGGTACTCGATGGAACGTGGCAAAATTTTAGGGATCATATTTGTAAGAATGTTGAATGATGGGCGGGGAAGAGGGGTTAGTGGGGAAGAGGGAAGACCCCCGCTTTGCGAAAGATTGGGTTGAGATCAAGTGCGAGGCTAGGAGGATAGCGAGGGGGCGGAGGAATTTTGGAGCGGATGTTACGTAATGCACCTTATGACTTGGGGTTTCCACATTTTGCAGTTCACCGTGTTGCGCTTGAGTTGGTACAATGCAAAATCTCCTGTCACATTGTTTCTATTTATGATTCCTTAGGCACGAGCTGCACCTCACGAATGGCATTTCCACTCACGCACTTTCATATGTAGGAAAAGAAAACCCTCTCGCATACCGCTTTCATCCATAATAAAAAAAGTACCGATTGGATACATGCATGACAGTAGAAAAGAAAAGAGCAAGGTTTCGCGAACAGATAAACGCCGACATTGACTTACCCAAATAATCATACACATCATTACAATACTCTGTATCGAGCCTGTCATGAGATGACCCTCGTACCGAGAGGGTGTGGGGAAATATCCTCCTCACGATGAATAGCGCCATGTTTCTGCACCGTGGACCTTTGAGTCTGGCTGTGATGGCTCTGGTGCAGGCTTCTCTTGATCGGGTGCAGCTGCAGTATCAGCCTTGCCGTCACCCTTCCCATCATCGCTGATGGGGCTGGGCGTCGGTCGCAGCGGCTCTTGTGGTGCCGGAGACGGCTTTTTACTTTCGGATTCTTCTTTGCTCGTAGGCAAATTTTGAGAAAGGCTTGAGCGAGGACCTGAAGGTGGATAGCGCGACTGCGGCTCTTGTGATGAAGGGGCAGTCACTGAAGGCTCACTTGGTGGGCCCGTTGTTGTAGCTAGTTGTTTAAGCATTTGCTCCCACTTTGGCGCTTCTGTCGTCTGCGTTGTCCGCGCCATTTCGCGCTGGAAAGCATCAGACGATTGAAACTGTGCCGATGGCTTTGGTACAGATGGGCCGGTAGGCGGTGCTCCGTAGTAACCTTGGGAAGGTGTAGACCCAGTTGATGCCGCGGGTTTCGGTGCAATTGTAGTAGGCGTACCACTCGTCCTTGACATCGGAGGCTTTGGCATCCACTCAGGGGCGATCCCATGATCCAGACTATAGGGTGATATGTAAGTTTTTGTCCTCCGTAGATAACAGTTTCTGAGGTAAGGGTAATTCATAACATAGGACAAGTATTCAGTGGGGGATTGGGCAGCGTAAATGATGTTAGAGGAGGGTGTGACGGCGTACATTGGAGGTTTGGGAGGCCCAGAAGGGTTGCTCGGCATGCTTGAGATCGATGAGCGACCGTTCGATGGCCCTTGAGGCTGACGGCCGGGTGGACCATAAGCCTGCGCTGCACTTGGTACTTGACCATGTGAGTACGGCGATTGACGAATGTTCTGAGCATATGGGTATGGTGGCAAGGCATTAGCATGTGGCGGCGCTTGCGCATACTTTTCAACACCGCTGAGCATCGGCCCAGATGTTGCTGGTTGTGCCTTCCAAGAAGCAGTTGAGTAGCTTTGTGGAGGAACATATGGGTGATATTGCAGTTGCTGCTGAGAGGGATGCAGCGGTCGATGAGAGAGATAGCCCTGGTTTGACTGTTGGCCGTACTGCCCGTGTGGCATGCGATGATCATAACTCACGTTTGGTTGATGTGCAACGGGCGAATTGGGGTTCTTGCGAGTGTCCGGATTGTATACTGGTGATCTGAAAGGTGCCACGACCGGGTCTTTTGGCTTGTAACTGTACGGCCGCCCGTTCTGCATATATTGCTGCGCAGAGGGTACAGCGATAGGTGCTGGTTTGAGCGGATAGGAAGCCGGGTAAGAAGCACGATGGAATGCTGGTACTGGAGGAGGTGGAGGTTTGACAGTATCGAGGAAGTTGCTCTTTGGGTTGTTCCTCGGCTTCGCAGGGTTCTCAGTGTACTGTGGCCTGGCCTCAGTTGACAACTTTCCAAGATAGTACCACAATTGGTCTTCCTTGCTGAGGTCGACCTTGGCCAACTTCTGCGTAACCTCAGGAGCAGTGTACCATTCAGCCCATTTCTGTTCAGAGTTAGGGTCATGGAAAGGATCGCCCATCTCAGGCACCCCATCTGTACGATTGGTGATGTCGAGTGACGCATCGCTTTCCTTTAGATGCTCTGGTAGTGGCTTAGCGTTCGCAGATGGCTTCAACCTCTGAGATTCATCTGGATGAAGCTTCAAGATATACTTCCACTCAACCTCGACACGATCACTGTACAGGTTAGCACAATAGTGTAATCGGAATCCACTTTACATACCCGTCAGGCAGCACGTCTACCAAAACAGCCTGCTCACCAGGCCTATTCTCTACAACCTGTGCACCATAGATTTGGTACATTTCACCACCCACATACTGGAATTGGATAACATCCTTGGGTTTGAGGGTCTTGCCGTATGACATGACATACTTGTCCTTCTCAAGTGCTTCAACGTCGACCGTCTTGTTGTTCCTCTTCTTCGGTCGATGGAAGCGGCATCGGAAGTCGTAGCCATCGTAAAAGTACTCTGTACCCTCTTCGTCAAATGTAGGCATCGGTCCAAGGTCTACCTGTACTCCAGCTGCTACAGCACAAGTGGCGTGGAAAGCTCTGGTGCACTTCTTCTGGGAGCACTGGAAGACAGCACCGCGCTTCGACCGACAGTAGTTGCACTTGAGTTCGAGACGATCCTTGCCAATGTTGGCCACATTGCACACTGTTTCAATGTCGTTCTTTTTGACAATGTACGTTTCGGGCGTGTAGTCGGCACAGATGCGATGAGCCTTCATACCATTGTCGGTTTGCAGCAGGTCATCATACTCGACATCGTTGGGACAGAGGATACAAGGCATGCCACGACCAGGGATTCGGATGCGAATGCGGATGCGTTTAAGTTTCTTCGGCCGTGACGATTCCTTTGAATCCTCCTTTCCTCGCTTCCTTTTGTTGCCCGTAGACTTGCGGCTAGCTTTGGCTTTGGTCTTTCCAGCAACGCTGACAGGAGGACTGGGCAGACGATCAGCCCCATCGTCCTCATCCTCTTCATCATCCGTCTCTTCGTAGTACTCTGGCGTTGGTTCGCCTCTCAGCTTGCGCTCAATCTCATTGACATCAACCCAAACACTGTCAGACTCGCACATGCATTTCTTCGCAATCCTGCCGTAGCTTAGCCACGACTCGTTTGCAAAGTTGACCGACTCTGCGCAGTTGTAGCCAATGTTGTAGCCGGAATGGTAGCCATAAGGGTAGGTGATGACAAATTCGCCTTCGTAGTGAACCAGTCGGTTGACTTTGATATTAAAGTCTCGCTCTAAGCGCTGGGGAGAGATCAAGTAAGTCTTGTGACGAAGAAATTGCGAGCAATGCTTCGCATCATTCGGCCATATAGTCTGCATTGCAGCTTCAAAGCGACGGGCATCCTCTTGGGATATGCTGTACCACTGCTTGGGGGCACCAAAGTGAATGTAGTTGATACTGTAGAGATCTACATCCTCCAAATGCCAGGCAAAGGTCGCCTTCCACATGCCCAGATACAGGTAGGCGGTGTTGACACCAGGGACTTTAGTTCCGAGCACGTCGAGAAGGTTAGGCAGCTTTGCTACATTCCAGGACGTTGTGCTATCATCGAAAAGAGAACCTGGCATATCTGCGCCGTACATTGGTTGGCCGTAGTTGATAGTCTTCCAGTAGTTATCCTCGAGCTCCTTGCAACGTTCGACGGTGTACTCCTCGAGGCCGGGCAGGCGGTAGTCGAAGTTTTCAAAAGCAGCCTCGTCAACATGGTCGGCCATAGCACCCCGATTGTTCAGTCGTCGAGACGAAACAGACTTCTTCTCATCGGCCGCTTTGGGCTGTCGACCACGTGCTCTGGTGGGTGTCGCGGCCCGGGGTTCCTTCTTGACTCTTCTTGAAGACCTCTTCTCCTCTTTTCCAGGCGACGTTGGTGTAGGGGGAACGTCCATGGACTCTTCGTCGTCGTCATCGTCATCAACCGGCTCCTTCTTCACCTGACGCCTCCGGGTAGGGCGGCCAGGTCCACGCCTGGGTGTTGGCGAGGCATCATCGTTTTTTGAGGGTGCGGGTTGGGCCCTTGTGGAGCGGGTTCGAGTGGGAACCTCTGGGGCAGCTTTGCGCCGCTCACCTCGCTTGGCCGGTGGCTGATGATGCGGCTCATCCGTCACTGCCCTCCACTCTGGTAGGTTGTATGATCGCTGCTTCTCAATATTCGCTTGTGTGTATATGCCATGCTGCCCATTGAACTCTTGCGTAATTGGATTCTTGACTTTGATGCTCTTGACAGCTTCGGTAAGGTCAGGGAGGGATTCGCGCCTACCATGCTATTAGTTACAAAACAATGATTGGTAACAGTCGCGTTAACATACCATTCTGTCGGCGGAATGACCTTGATTATACCGGACTTCATACCGTACTTGTCAACCTTATCGATGAAGCGCTTAAAGTTGCGAAACTGGTCCATTGTCTGTAAAGGGTAAAGTCAGTACCATGGAAACTACCTTCGCGTGCGTCACATCTGTAGTGACATTGCGCGCGTCGCCATTGCTTTCTGGAGCAGCTCATGTGCACCTTTGCGACGTACCGGCTTGAACACGGGTATCTTTCCCCCTTCAAAGTAGTGGTCGGGCTCGATGTCTTCGCCGTCGTCGCTATCAATGTCTGAAAGTTCCGACGACATATCCTCAAAATGCTTATCATTGTCTTCGCTCGTGGGCGGCGTTAGAGCGGGTTTGTTGGTGGCGTCATCCTGAGGGACAGGTGGTGCCTCGACCGAAGGCATGACGTCTTGCGGCGCCTCCATGGTAAAGGCGATCGTCGCACAAGAGAGGTTTGTTGTGCAGAGGAGGGAGGAGGTCGTTGGCGACTGATGATTAGGGTTTCGGAGACGATGTGGTCAACATGGGTCGCTTTTCCGCCACGGAGGGCGCGCGTGAATCTATTAGCTCCGCAACAATTTTGCCGGTAGCGCACGAGGTATCCCGGGCCTCTGGTGTTGTCAGATGGCGAAATCGCAAGTTGTCGGGGCAGGTAGACGGCTGAGAACACCAGGAGGCTAGGTGTGCAAGAATGAGGAGGTTGCAGGCTCGCGGTCTGTGCGCGTACCCAGCTAGTGATTAGCGTGCATAGACCCCGGCTTGTCGACTGATGATCGAGCCACCTTTACCATCCAGGCGAAGGCGTGGGATGCAGCCGCTATCAATTTCTCTATGCGTTACAGAGCTGAAGAAAGTGAGGAAGGGGCTGTCTCTTACCTGCTGGGTATAGAGAGGTTCCTGAGCGGAGTAACGCGCGAGATGTAGATCATGTGCGACTCCCAAGCGGCATGCACGTCATCCAAGGTCACATCTGTGAAATCTAATCTGATAAGATTGTAGCCTTGCCAGCAACCAGTCTGAGTCTGCCAGGGTTCCCCCTCCAGACATCCGCGGTTACATGCAGGCAGTGCGACGATTAACTCCACCACATTGTTCAAGCGTCAGTTATGCATGATGCGCATTGCAGCAGTTGGCTTCATAGTCAAACTCTTCGTCTTGCACGCATACTAAGCTTGAAACAGTGTACCTGGATTTAGGGGTTAAGCTTTTCTGACTGGCGCCCATCTCAACGGTTGCAAAACCCACTAGTTCGCCCGTCACGGCACTGCCAGGCTACACCCCGCCAGTATGCGGAACACGCTCGTCCTCGCCAAAAGGCCTTTGCGAGAGGTGTGTGCTTTTTTCCCTATTCGTATATGTACATGCTTCAATAGTCGCATGAACCGTAAGTCAGTGTTGGTGGACTGCCCAGCGGCACCACGATGACCGGGATAAACTCATCACACCAGAGCATGGACAACTTGAGGTAGTGATTTTGCATCCTATTAGATAGAAGTAAGAGATAAAATCGAGCTCAGCTATATTTTGGGACCTTCACGAGCTGTTGCAGCCTCCAGTGACGCAGTGCTGGTTTTGTTTAGCACTTGGGTCGAGCTCACCACCAATGGACCGCTTCGTTACAGGGCCTTTTGAGGAAGAAAACCCAAAGCAAAAGCGAAGTGTATGGTCACTTGGATAGGCTGCACTGACTCTACCTTGGTCTCCTCCACGTGGGGCGTGACAAGGACAACAGTATTTAGTCATGGCAGGGTGCGTGCTGCCAACTCCACACCGACTCGTCGTACTCGCATTCGCCAATCGGAGTCGTTGAGCAGCCAGCACATCCCCCATGCATCTTCCCCGGATCGACACGCCGCTACTGCCAGGGGCAAGCCGAGCCGTCATCGTCATCGTTTGCCCATGCTTCCATGCCAAGTCACAAACTCCTCTTTCCCTCAAATCCATAAACCTCTCACAATAGACACAAACCACCTCTCTTTCACACACACACACAAGTGAACCGAAATTAAGACAATCGTACAAGCCATGTTTTTTGAGCGCCAGATCATCCCCCAGAATATAGTACAGTGTCCCATACCCGAAGAAATAGAGATCCTATGCACCGATGCTATGCTACCAAATCCACTAGGCCGTACATTACGCCTATCAGCTCTTCATAACTCATTCTGCCCAGACACTCATGCAAGAGCACCCAAACCCTTCGTGCAAGCAACTTTTGTTTTCTGCGTGTACGAGCCTTTTCACAGGAATGCTATACTTCCTGCTTTACGATGATTCACCTCGGGGACCGCCACGGAAACCGCCACGTCCTCCCCTGAACTCTCCACGGCCACGGCCACGGCCACCACGGAATTCACCGCGGGGTCCGCCTCGGCCCCTACCCCTGTATCCGCCGCGATCACCGCCACCGTGACCTCCTCGTCCCCGGCCGCCACGGCTGTGATGGACTTCAGAAAAGCCGTCGTTAGCAGCCGCAGGGCCTGCGGGCGCCGAGCCTTGCTCGGGAGTGTCGTCAGCCCAGCTCTGGGTGCTGTTAGGGGCAGCAGCAGCGTGTGGTGTCTCGGTTTCGGCGGGGTCTCGCGGGACTATCTCGAAAGATTCGGTCAGAGGGTCGTCGCTTCCAGTCTGCTGCTTGTCCCATTGAGCCTGAGCTGCAGCGTTCGCCGAGTCTGTTCCAACGTTGGCTGCTGCTGGTACCTCTGAAGGCTCTGTTGCAGCTTCAGTAACAGGCTTTGCGCCAGCCTCAATCTCGGTAAGTCCAGCGTTGGCGATGGTTGGGTCGGACACGGCCTCAGGAGGGGCAGCCTGGTGTTGCGCAACATCGTCTACCCAAGCTTCTTCCGCAGCGAAGGGAGCTTCCTCAAGCGCAGCTTGCTTCACCTGAGAATCTATACACAGTCAGCTGATATTGCTCTCGCACATGATTCTCCATAACCTACAAGTGATGCCCAGCACAACGCCCTCAGTTGATGGGACGCCGTCGCTCGCACCGTCAATCAGCTTCTCAGCTGCCATGACAGCAGCAGCATCTCCTCCGTAGACCTGGAGAAGAGCGCCCTCAAAGGCCTTTGTGAGATCCGAATCGTCGTCCTCTAATTGGCGACGTGCGGCAGCAGCTCTCAAGAAGCGGGACAGGGTCAGGAGCTTCTCCTTGACAATCCTCTGTTGCTCCAACTTGGCCTCGGCCTTGATAGTCTCCCTCAATGTCTCGAGTTCGCTAGAGTGTGTCTTGGAGAGAAGCTCTTTCTCCTTGGCGAACTTGGCCTCGAGCTCATCACCGTACTTCTTATAGTTGGTGTATTGCTCCTCATACTGTGCGAGCTGAGCTTGGAGACCTGGTTTCCTCTCAGCCTGGGCCTTTTGGTCGGCGTTGATTTTGCGAGAGGCGAGGAGCTCATCGAGAGAGACGCCAGGGTTGGCTGCGATTATTGAGTCGACCTTTTGAGTTGCGCTCTACACATGCGACGTCAGCAAGGGCTAGTGTGAGGGGTAAAGGGGCATGCTAATCTTACCAGCTTCTTGTTGATGTTGCGAATGTTTCTATGCGCCCGGTTGTTAGCAGGCGGCTTCTTTGCGAATGGGGAGTCTGGCTGTGATGTGGAGAGTTGCAACTTACTTCTGGACCTCGCGGAGGTACGAGTTGTCGCTGTCTGCGCCATTGGCTTTGCCTGCAGCCTCGGAGCCACCTGCGCCGGCTTCAGACGCTGTCTTTTCGGGTGCAGCTGGCACTGCAGTAGCTCCTTCCTGCTTGCCCTTCTTCTTGCGAGCACTCTTGGACTCCCCTGTTACCAGGTTCTGTAGCTTATTAACTACCTCCGAGGCCATTGCAGTGTTCAATTATGCAGATTCCGATGATTTAAGTAACTTCTACACGTGAGTCGCGTATTTGAATTTGAAGATGAATTCGAGCTTGTATGTCGTGTGAGTTTGAAGTGGATGGTTTGGGCACATGGTCGCCCGCCCTCAACGTAACAGCGAAATTAGCGTGGGCACTAGCGCCCTCGTGGGCATGACGCACCCCCTTCGGGCGCCGAACATATACAATAAGCAAACGCCCTCCCGGGGTCACAGTTGCTGCCTGCATATACAGAAGAACTTCTCATCCGTCACATCTGTGTCTAAAGTACTTGAAAACTTCTTGGCTGTATGTATTTCCATGCAACACATATGCTCGCTATGCGGAGAGCAGTCAATGATGGTCGATGGCCGAATATTATTTAGCAAAGGAGAAGCAAGAGATGAGATTCTATAGACAGAGTTGCATGGGAATACGATTCAACTCATAATAAAGTATATGACGCTAACTGGGGTATCATGCCGTCCGGTCCGGCCGCAACTCTGTGAAATCCTATGTAAAATCGTAAACCACAAGTGCTTGACTACCTTCACTCTTCTCTCGTAACACGACAACGTTTTGTTCATCAAATCCAACCCATCCTCGACTGACCGATGAGTCATCAAAGCCCTGGTCAAGTGCAAAGCGTAGCCCACTCTCCCCTCCGGAAGCATCATCTTGACTGTCTGCTTCACCAACTTTCCACGGCTGTATACGCACACTCAACTCTCCGTTCCTTGAGCGTTTGCGGTTTGCAGAAGAATTCATCCCGCCTTCCAAATCCCAGACGCGGAGTTCGTCTCCAATTCTGCTAACTGACACGGCCTTACCGCGCATTCCGACGTGGGCGCCGGAAATTGAAGATGTGTGGCCCCAAAGCCGGTTTCCAGAACTGATCGAGAGCGCCGAAGATGTTGATCGAACCAAGTACAACGATAAAGTATTATCCGGGTGCGCCACAAGGAGGTAGGGATGCGAGTACGACATCGAGGTTGGCTTTGATCTGCTAGGTCCATTAGGGATAGATGCATCCCTTGCACTATCTGAGGAGGAGTGTACTGGACAGGAAGTTGGAGAACGATACGCAGATAGGGTAAATGAATGCTCATCCGCTGCAGTAGTCAACCTTGATTCCAGAAGCTCACCCTTATGAGAAAGTATCAGTTCTTGTACACCGACAGTCCAGCCAGACAGGTAGGTTGGAAGAGAGTATGCAATGGCTGCAGTCATGCTTGTCGCATTCATCCTCAACGAAAGAGAGACCGGTGGCCATGCAGTGTGTGACCGGAGAGAATACAGAAGTTTAGGAGCCTCCAATGCGCCATGCGTATTTGGTGTCCCTTCGAAAGCATAAAGGGAAAGGATATGATCTTCGGTCATGGTAAGAAGGTAAGGTGATGAGTACGCCAGTGCCGATAACATCCCGTTAGTGGACGGCGGATGAGTAAAGAGGGTCTGGAACCTCTTGCGATCTTTCTTTAGTGCGTATATCGAGAATGAACCATCCTCGAAGCCCATAGCTACCCTCTCTTCGTTAGCCTCTTTCCCAGAGGCGTCTATAGCCATAGATATGGGTAGTTGAGGTGCATATGCTTCCACATGGAGTTCCGTGGATGCCAGTAGCTCGCGATCGTCCTTCGAGCTCCAAGCCCGAAGACCTGATAATGAATCTGCGGCATAGACGATGCTGTTCGACATCATTACTAGAAGAGGCGGATCTGGCGGTCGTTCGGCAACGACAATCTCACTGACGGCGCATTTACCTTTTGTCCAGTTATGCCGTAAACGATACTGTTGTTTCCAATTTGTTTCTTTCCCGTCCTTGACAAGATAGCCATCTTCCAGCCATTTTGACAGCCGAGAGGAATAGTGTAATCGATTAGGATTGGCAGAGTCTTTAATGCCAGGTATGCGAGATGCCCGTGGGAGAACGAATGTGCGGTAGTAGGCTGCCTTCCAAAGCTCAGAATCCAAAGACAGGCGGCTGAACCGTTTCGATACCCTGCGCGACAGTTAGTTCGGGATCGATCCCTCAGAAGAGCGTACTAACCTTTGGCAAACTAGGAGGGACGATACAGGGATAAATGACAGTACACGAACCAGCAGCTCTTCACTCAATTTAGACAGCCGATCCGGGTGCAAGAGGCGTTGCACCTTGGCTGGAGGCTCGTTGTCGTCATCCCCATCGTGCGCACGCTTCATGATAGAGAATGTCGAGTCGGCGGCGAAGGCGAGCGCGAGCCTCGGGAGTGATTGTACCGCCGTTATCGCGTCGTAGTACGGCTGGATCTCGGTAATCTATCGGGGACTCCTCGGGGCAATACAGCATTAGTCACGTGCACAAATGTATATATAGTCTCACCTGAACCTAAGGTCTCTTCTTAAGAAGAATTCGCCATCTACTTCAAACTAATATACTTTGTGCCTATCCACGAAACACATTATATATGGGAAGATAGAGAAACTATTATAGAAAGACTAAATGTTCAATAAATTTGATTGCTTTAACTCTTACTTTACTTATGTAAACAATTAATATCAACATTAGATCGACCAATTCTTCCGGTTATGATGACGGACGCGATATACAAAGGGCAGGATCGACAAGTTATAAAGTTGTTGCTGTCGATGCTATCATAAACACAAGAGAAACTCGCACACAGAGGTATTGCGTGATTTATAAAGAAAGCCAACGTGACTGGAGGTTGAACGTCTTTGAAATCGATATAGCAATCAAGTGCTGCATCAGTTGATGTTAGAAGAACCAATATCAACGCTAGCTTTACTACGTAAAAAGTAAGATAAGTATTCATAGTTTCAGGTAAAACATACTTTTTGTGTTGTCTTGAAGGCACAAAGGTGTATAAGTGCGTAGAAAATAGTTTAGTGATAAATAGAACAGATGGAATAAATTGAATAGAGGTAGACCGATAAATACTTATAGAAGAAGTTAGCTTAGATACAATATAGAAGATAAGATGATTATATACGAACAGCACACTGATAATTCTTATCCCGAAAGTAGGTATATTATAATTCAAATGTTCAACTACATGTAGGATATGGACTCTTTTTATATTCAGCTGACGGAGAGAAGCGGACGTATTCCCATGTAATGATCCGCTAAAACACCGACGGTAAGAGTTCGTTACTGCGGTGTAGGGCAAAAGTTCTGTGCAGTAGAGACGTTAAAACAAAGATCAGGCTCCTCTTGAGATGATTTAATGTAGAGAGATATTGTCGTGGAGCGTTTTTCACCTCTATCTGCGCGGGTCCTCGATGCGTAAAATAAGTGTATTCTTGAAGCTTCAAGAGCCTTCAGACTTGAAAGTTGGTTGTGTACCTATCTGCTGTTATTTTTCTTCCCTCGGTGTAGTTTCCATTATATCCACGTCTGAATACCTTTCGGGCTGTCTATCCGCATACCTCGTGGTTGCTCCACCACGATAATACATTTATGGTATAGCTTCTAATTTATATAGTATAGCTCTTTCTTCTACCCTAACCTGTATAATCTCTTTACTAGTGCTTATGCACACAACTTCTACCGTATCCTATAGTACATTGTAGATCTTAATTTATAGGATTGACGACTTGATTATAATCGTGATAGATAAGATATCAGCGTAACAAATAGGCTTTTAAGTATATAAGAGTAGAGGTCGGGTGGGGTTAGCTTATGCGAGATCCCCTTACTGCTCCCATGCCATCCAATATCCGGCCGAGCCAACTGAGCGCTTCGAACAGCACCAGCAAGCACGCACCTTTAGAAACCCATGCACCTTCCCTCAATCTTCAGTGGCTATACCGCCCGCCTCAGCATGGTCGGCCCAGTGGCAGCATGCATACTCCATATGTAGTGGCAGACGTTAACAGACCACTTGATCGATTGCTTCGTGTAGAACAGCTAGCTAGCCTATATCTGCCTAATCAAGCGGCCGTTGAGCGATTGCAATCGCACGGAGAAGCACTTCGTAAAATTCTCTATCCCCGTCGTCGTTATTCGTAGCGATGTGCTCGAGTATGCGCTAAAAGAGCTGCGGAAGTCAGGCTAGCCTCTGCTGCATGGTTGTCAGCGTAACTCCTTGTACACCAACGCCACCCATAAGAACGTTCCTATCAGCGCGACCTTGAACTAGATGAATGACACAATCGCCCCGCTCATGCGGAACAAGTTGACTTTTCAAGCTGGTATGGTGGCTAAAGTCTACATGTAGGAGCTGTTCCTGGATAGATTGGGTATTGCTACTGGTGAATGCCCACTTAGTCTGGCACGGCCGCCGCAGCCTTGCTTAGCTCCGGCATTATATTCTAGAAGAAGAAGAAGGAGAAGAAGAAGGCCGTTACTGCCCTCTCTGGTCAGACAGGTGTAGTGCCTACACGACACGCGGTCTCCTCTGTCAGTGCCATCCTCATCATCATCGCCTTGCCCTTACCCAGGTCGCCGTGAATCCAGAGGATGCGCGACTCGTCATCTTGATATCCGTCAAAAAAGGCAAAACTATTATAAATTATTTTTATATCTTTACAATGAGAATAAAGTTTTGATATTTTTTAAATTCTAGCTCTTGAGGTAGAATCGTCACCCGTATACTGCGTGTGGTCAGTGCGCCAAGGCACTCGTGATTACGCGTTGGCATTAGCGCGCTTTGGACGTTGCCGCCTAATTGCACCGCACATCGCCAGCCGCGCTCGGGCGAGAGTACATCCGAGTTTACCTGAGTGGCCACGGTCCTAATTCATGCAATATTCTTTGTGCGAGAGATGGCGGACTTCACAGCCTGGGTAGAGCAGAACAAAGCGCTGTGGTCGCGTGTCTACGATGAGGTCATCCAGCCGAGTCTCGACAAAGAGTGGAACAAGAGTACGTATGACACGCCTAGTTGCGCCAGCAGTATCTAATTGCGCTTCAGGAGAAGAGAGACATCAAAACCAATTAAAAGAAAGCGGGTATTACCACTCTTTCGGCGCAACCATTACTGATATCCAGCAGAGGAAAAGAACCATGAGGCACTACTGGAACATTTGAACAATGAGATTTCCAACTCGGCGCGTCTTTCTAATGAAAACGCTCAATTGAGAGACCAAGCCCAGACTAAAATTACTATCCAAGGAGAGAAAGGGACTACTGCACAAAGTATTTCAACGGAAGAGCACCGTCGCCTAGTCGAAGAGAATGAGCAATTGAAACAACAACTTGCCAGACGCAATGCAGAAGTTGTCTCATCGGCATCAGTTGGGAGTAAAGCAACCAAAGATGTCGGGACGACAACCACAGACGATCAATATCTTGACCTTGTTCAAAAGTTCAGCGAACTGAGTAAGAAGTATAGCGATGCCACTCAGCAGGTGAAGTATCTGCAGAGGAAGAATGCTACAGTTATGCAAAAGAACAAAGACATGAAAGAGAGCGTGCGCGCATGGCAAGAGTATGCGGATCGGCAATCGGGGAAGCGGAAACCTAAGTTGCAAAGTCGAGTCGAGGAAGCAAGGCTGCGATCACCTACAAGCCATGTTTCTCCAGGGGATGAACCCAATATCCCTTCAAGTCCGCGGACTTTGGCTACACTCAGGCTGTCCCCAGCTCTCACTGACTCAGGGCGTTCCTCTCCTGCTGCCATGGCCCCCCATGCCGCCGAAGGGACTGCACATCAGTCGACGACGACATTGGATTCGGTTTCGGGCGAACGAGATCCATCTGAAAATGCAGACATCACACCAAGGCCACGGTCTCGCATCGGTGGTTCGAAACTATCAAAACTCCAATTGATAACTTCAGATCATGGCAGCCATCAGCAAGGTCATCCAAGTTCGAGTCAGACAACAGTGGACGAACGCAATGAATCAATGACTCGGCATGAACAGATAGTAGGCGTAGAAGGTGAAGATGACGACATGCCGGAGTTTGTATCAGAGAGATCACTGAAACGCAAACGTGGAGAACCCACCACTTCTAGGTTTGAGGTTTACGCAGACCGGTTATCGGATGGCACACCGGTCAGGCCGTACCGTGTGAAAGAAGAACAAGGCAGCAGCCCTCCGGTCTCTGCATACAAGCTACTTCATCACGAGGCGACGATGGACCTGGATGATCCTGCATCCAACTTGCTACAGACACCTCGTCATAATCGAAGGCGACTATCAATCCCTACCACTAGCACAGAGACACCTCGACGGCGCAGATGCAACAGCGCGCCATCAACACAAGAGGTCAAATCAGAAAATGGAGCAGACCAGGTCCTTGTGCCAAATAATCCCATAAGGCTGACCACAGAATCTCTTATGCTTTCAGAGGTCACCAGCGCGGAGACCCGAGCCTTTAGTGAGCCCATGGAGCCAACCCAGGTGGAGACCAATGTCCTAAAATCTATCGATCCAAATATAGTGAACAGTGTTTCTGAGGAGCCACCGAACAAACGCTCAAGGAACACGGGGTCCCGGTATCAACAGAAGCATGAATACTTATTGGAGTCTAATGAAGCACCGCCCTTGCTAGATAATGAGCTACGACTATCACCGAACTCAGCTCGGGCGCGGATGAACCAGAGGCTTAGAGATTTGAAAGATCTCCAAACGCCTTCCAAAGCACCATCAAAGACCCTACAGACAAGCCCAATTAAGGTCAAGACTGAGCAGTCTTCTTTCCCATCAAGCTCGTCCCGCACCACGCATACCCCCGGTCTTGAGAAGAAATCATCCAAGCCAGCATCCAAACGTCGTTCGGATTCACGTGAATATCCAACACCGGATCGGCCAATCTGGACAATGAAGCCGCCAGAGACACGCTCAAGTACTCGCAAAAAACGTGGTTCGTCATCCAAAGAACAAATCCCTCTACGAGAAAAACGGGTCACAGAACTTAGTATTCAAGACTTTAAGCCAAATCCGGCTTACAATCAGGGCTACAGCTATGCGTTCTCTGAAACTGTTCGTAAGCGTGGAGATCGCATGTGTCTCCCTGGCTGTACCAACCCACAATGTTGTGGCTCCACTTTCCGAACCTTTGCAGCGGCTCAAGCACCTCTTAATGCATCACAAGAGGAGGCTTTATTGGAAGACTACCTTGGCGAGGCTTACAGCAAATCGCAGTTGACACAAATGTCATCCGAGGAACGACAGGAGCTAGTGCTACAAGCACGAACCAGGAAAATGGCGAAAGAATCAGGGAAGCATCGTGAAGCCTACCAGAGACGAAGGACACCGCCAGGCTTCTGGAGGGTGGATTTTCCAACAACCCAAGAACGGGAGGAAGACCGGGCGCGTGCAAAAGAACAAGAGAGATCGGAAATACACGAACGGTGGATTGAGGCCAATAGAAGGGGCGGCAAATGGATTTTTAGAGATGAGTAATAGCTTTATTCAGAAGCTCTCCCAGTGGAGTGCGCCACACGTGAACCATGGTTACGATTTTGAACATGAATGTATGCACCTGTGAATCATAGTAAACACTGCACCGATAATAAATATTGACACATGGGATAATCTGCCCCTACTCATATATAAGGTCGACCATCCACAGCATTTTTACACTCCAAGTCAGATCTCTTCACATCACACAGAACACCTGTTCCTCACCACTACACCATACTCAAGCTACACTAAATCAATACCAAAGCACCACTACATCACCACCAAAGCCACACCAAAACTAGGTTCAAATACCTCACACACATCACAACAACCATGTGTCCACAAATGTACACCCGCGAAGAATTCCTTTCCATCTTCATCAACACCGCCACCACCTCACCATACCTCACCACAGAATGCACAATCTGTGCAGAACCCTACTCCTCCTCCCCCGACGGGTGCGCAGTAACTTTCTCAGACAAAGAAAGCTGCAACCACGTCTTTTGCAAAACCTGCATCAGCCAGTGGCTGAACACCAAAGGTGTGAACTCCTGCCCACTATGCAGGAGGGAGCTATTTGTCCTCGACGACGAGGACTACGATGGTTTTGATTTCGATGACGAAGAAGAAGACGAAGAGGACGAGGAAGAGGTGGAACAAGAATCCATCTTCACCCATGAGCAAATCATGGAACTACTCGAAAACGCTTGGTACAAAGTGTTCTGGCTACTCGATAGCCACCGCCAAAATATCGCGAGAACTGCTCGCGAAGAAGAAGTCGAAAGCGACGACGACGACGACGACGACGAAGATTTGTCATCGCCCCGTCCCCCCCTCTACTCCTCTACCCTCATCCACTCCTTCGTCGGCGTTCTCGCCTCCCGTGTAAATGTCCACGACCTCAATGACATCGTGGAGTTCACCAGCATCACGAAAATGAACGTGATTGCGTGTATTATGCACCGCATCATGGACGAGCAGGTCATGTGTGTTGAGAGGACGGGTGGAAGGGTAAAGGTGCTGGAGTTTCCGTTGGAGATGGCGTTGGAGTGGGCGGCGCCCATGAAGTGGGTTATGCGGCGTGTTTAGATTATTTTTTTTCGAATCGTGCTGATTGGGGGGGTTGGGAGGGGTAGCGCGTATAGCAGAGCTGGATTCACGCTTGATTTTTTATGACTTAGGGTATCCTTAGAGGGAATTTTTTGCATTAGCGGACTGTGTGCAGCGTATAGCTTGGACGTCCGTGAGGGGACACTGTGTAACACCGGGCTGAAGAATTGCTTTGTTACGTAGATTAACTATATATTTTTTAACTTCATTCCTTTTCTTCAGAACACATTGTATACGTGAGAAATGGGGGGGGGGGGGGGGTTTGCTTCCGCATCTTGGATTTTGATTTGTTGGTAGTGGTAGTAGTATTCGCTACATAAGAAAAGAAAAGAGAGAGAGAGGGAAACCGCTTGGAAATCTGCCAAATAGGTCACACACATACGTGTATGGCGGGTATATAGAAACTCTGAAAAAAAAAACGCCTTTAAACCAAAGAAAAATAATACAACAAATTGAGCAAAATTCCTCCATCCTTGAACACCTTGCGTGCTTTTTGCCAGTGCTAGAAAAATAACGAATAGAAAAGAGAAAAAAAGGGATTGGAAATATGAACATGGACTCATGAACAGAGATAAGGAAAAGAAGAGTGATGACAAGGAGATTGAACAAAAGAAAAGAAGAAAAGAAGTGCCAGTCTAGTAGTATACACTGCCGCTTTGGGTCACTACACGCGAATGCTTCCCTTGCGGTACTTCTCATCCTTGAGCGGGACAGGTGGGCGTTCATCTTCCGAGTTGCACTGAGAAGGCATAGCCGAGTCCTTGCGCTCATGTCTGGGATCGTACTTTGCACTTGAAAGAGTGCGCTCGGGGATGTACTTTGCGCTCGAAAGCGTGGTTTCGGGCGAGTATGTAGCGCTGGAGAGAGTGAACTCCTTGGGGCTGTATCTTGCGCTTGAGAGGGTAGGCTCGGGCGAGTAGGTGGTGGGGGGCAGGAGTTGGTATATGGTCGAACGGGTTGTGGCAGAAGGGGATGTGTACATGAATTCGTCGATTGCGTCGTCGATGTCGCTGAGGAGGTTGTGCTGGTTGGATTGGGAAACTGAGGAGTTGGACTTGCGGTCGAAGGGTTGCTTGGGGTCGAAGGGGAAGGTGAAGGAGATTGGGCGCTCCTCAGGGGTGTAGGAAATTCGCGGTGCGAGAAATGCCGAGCTGGGCTCGTTCGGTGATGGGTGGTAGGGTGTTCGGGGGCTGACAGGCAGAGGTGAGAGCATTGCCTGAGAAAGAGGGGTTTCAGGAAGCCTCTCACGTGGGCTAGCAGGGCCCAGGGATGCTGGTCTGGCTTTTCTTCGGGCGAATCCGCCGTCGTAGGTCGTCGCTGGTAGCAGGTAGGAGTTTTGCTCTGGTGCAGAGGTAGAGACCTCCTTCTCTTCCCGTACAATGGTGTAGGAGATAGGTCGTTCGCCCTGCTTGAAAGGGCTTTCTGGCTTGAACAGACTGTCGCCTAGCTTGGATGGGCTCTCGCCTTCTCTGAAAGGACTCTCGGCCTGATCGCTGTTCAATGTCGAAGAAGAGGAGAAACCAGGAGAGAGGACAGGATCGCTCTGACTCCTTGTATGTGTGAGGTAGCGTGGCGAGGGAACTTGGAGGTGGCTTGGAGAAAGCTGGTAGTCTGGTGGCGGCGCGATGAAGATGTCGCCATGACCCATGCGCTCACCTGGGTCTACATTGCGGAGTGCTCGTAGTCTCTGGTTTGCGAAGTCGGCCTCGAGAATGTGTGCCCTCTCAACCAGCTTGTCGACTAGCTTGCCATGTGAGTCCTTGAAAGTCCTCTTGACGAAGCTTAATAGCAGTGATGAGCACGTCATCCTGACATCTTCCCGAATGTATAGTCCGTTCCTTGGTGTTCGAAGATCAGGCTCGGCGGGAAGCTTTGGTTCACCAGGTAGCCTTCCTCCTACAGTCCACTTTGATTGGATGTCGAGACCCAATGGTGCGTACACATGTGTGAAGAGGCCGTCGGCTGTGTCGTTGAAGCAAGCATGGTATGATACTGAACCAGTAGCCAGACCGCCTGGTAGATATGAGACCTTGTCTAGTAATCGTCAGGCTTGGACGCAAGAATAGGGGGCTAGGCAGAGTCGACTTACCCTTGATGGTGTACCACATGGCCCAGTACTCATCAGTAGGCGCATAGGAAGGAGGCTTGCACATGAACCGCTCTACAACCAAGGGGTTCAAGTCAATCATAGCCAAGTGGTCATGGTACATGTCTATCACGCTCTTCCTTGTGATGCCAGCCGGAAGCGGCGTAATAGTGGTGAAGACAGCAGTCTTCGGCATCCTGTCTCCTTTAGTGCGGGATGGATCTAAATCGATCTTGATCTGGTTCCAAGTTTCAAGGAATCGGGGTATATGTGGATGCGTCTAGATGTTTATACACACGCGCGTGAGAAGATGGAGAGGTAGAGAAAAGTTGTTTGGACAGCAGAGCAGCGAAGGAAGATGTATTTGTTTCGCAGGCTAGAAGAAGCCCAGCCCAAGAGCGCTGACACGCTTCGCACGTGTATCAGGCATGCGCTAGAGCACAGCTTCAGATCCCCTGCACCATTCATCTTTGCGGAAGGTTTGGGAACGACAGGACCCTCGCCAAGCTCCCCGCCAATACTTCGGGAACGGCACTGATGCCGTTCTCGACACGCATCTAGAATTCTGCCTCTTGTCATCAGCTGCCAAGCGCAGCCGGATGTGTGTTTGACCGTTCTGTTTTGATGCAGGTCCTCCAAGCGGCACCGCCAGCTCACACTGGCAGCGTCTAGAAAACACTAATGCCGAGAGCCCACAAACACAAAAATCCACGCTGCTAGGCGCAGACGCGGAAGTGCAAGTTTTGTCCCGGAATCAAGTGGCGTAGTGTAGCAGATGTCCGTATCCTGGTGCAGATCCGCCGCATGTACGTTACAAGCTAAGGTCTGCGCTAGTACAAATGTGGAAGTTACAATGAACTATTCGAGGGTAATTCCACTTGAACTTCAACTCTACACTGCAAGACGTGTACAATAGACTTTGCCTGTCAACAACAAATGTCAAAAGCAAAGTTTGCTGTCATAGTTGACATTCAAGGAAAGGAAAAAAAAAGACTCGGCTGTACATACAGCAACTACTGCGCATTGCGCACCGCAGAGTACAGAGTACCCCAGAGATTCCCATCTTCAGGCATTGCATGTCTCTTTTCTGTTTCAGCATGCTCCTTCAGGCACTCATCGTATGTTCAGGCATGTACATCCCCTTTACCCGAAGGAGATTTGCTCTGCTGTTACAAACCAAGCGTTTGAAAACGACATGTTAAGAAAAGTGGTGCCCGGCTTGACATTCCCGTTTAGGTCTCCGCGTCGAGGTCCAGACGTACTTATTTCTCAAAGGTGCGCTGTTTCATCCGCGTGTATGCAGCCGCCCTTTCTCCCCGTCGTCTACAAATCCTTCTTCTTGGACGTGTCTACGTGACAAATGCCCGATGCTATGTATAGTAAAAAATGATTTGCAAAAAAGCAAAAAGGTACTCCGCACCCGTCATCGATGACATATACTGCTCTGTTTTTGGGCGTGCGGATTATTTCGCCCTTTTTGCTTTTGTCATTGCGTTTGTCATCGCATTTGGCCAAGAACTGAACACATAGAGCTTTAGATAGCGCGGTACCTGAGGTGTCATCCAGATTGACAGCTGTCACAAAAGCGAACTTGCATAGACTCTTCGAAACCATACTGGATCAAGATAGATTACGAATATTGATATTGTATATGAATTTCAGTGCTGCGCAAAGCAAAGCAAAGCAAACGAGACAGACATCATTCATGAGAACACCAAAGCGCCGCAATCATGCCTGATGATCGCATTCCTAGTCATTTACGCATCAAACTCACACCGTAAATCTCATCTATACACCTTGATGCATTTTGATCTCCTCGTTTCCATATGGCTTCTTCCCAGCGCTCGCCGGTCCAGCCTTGCGTCCCTTGATAATTGACATCACACCAAGCCCGAAGGTGGCCATCCACGTAAACCACGAGATAGCGCTAAGCGCTGTGCTTGCACGAGCTACATCGCAGACCTAATCAATCACAGTTAGTCTCTATTCAGCGTAGACCATGGCATTTCCTGTAGTCCGCCTCTGGAACTCTGCTTCTACAGCCAGGACATCATCAAGGGGAATCGAAACTATACATACCATACCAAAGCAGATTCTACCGTTCAAAAAAACGCCTAGCGAGACAAACCCACTGAGCCAAAAGAGCATCGTCATGCCTTCAATGCCCAACAAAGCCCACTTCATCGTGGTTTGTTCTGCCAAGTGGGTGAATTTGCCCAGCGAGATGAGCATCAAAGGAGCGAGCGTCAGAAGACTCCAGGCTGGCGCGAAGATTAGGTAGTTGATCTCGATTGGAGACGACTGTCGCCAATGACTTGACCACCATGACGATACTGTAAGTGCAGGTGAGTTTGGGGCTAAAGAAAAGGTGAGGGCAGCCAAACATACCATACGCCATGAGTCCAAGAATGACAATAGAAAGCACAGCCTGGGCGGCACGCGCAGGAAGCATCCAGCTCATTGCCATTTTGGGTGTATGCTGTAGTCTCTTCTCCTAAGGAAGTGCCGTGTCGTGTATGTGTAGCTGACACCTTAACGCTTGTCTTGCCAAGGCGACTGGAACGACCGGTTCGATCTGCTTGTAATATATCCTCTGAATATCGTACGTGTCCAATATACTAGCGATTTACTGAAGAGAAGACTTCTCCCACCACAGCAAAACACCGCATACACAGACAAAAGGATCGTCAAGAAAAAAATTCGACCAGATACGTCGCTTATATGGCGTTGTCCAGACAAACGTAGGATCCAGGGTAAAAGTAATGTCGAGAGGCGAAGAGAAAGGGAACCAAAAGGCGTGGGAAGAGAGAATAGGGTAAAGTGTGGGAAACCCCGATGGTGAGGGGCGAGGGACTTTAGTCGATACGGGTAAAATAATTCAAGGGCAATCCCT